CTAAATTGAGTCAGAGTTAAAAATTAATTCAGAGTCCAAATACAGTTTATTCATATTACTCTAATAACACTATTATTGCTTCCTATTCTATCTCGGATTAAATATTTCAAATTGCGGAAGTACTGTGCACTTATCAATATAGTGGAAATAAAGGCAGAATCACACTCTATAGATGCATTCAATAAATGCGGTTTCATAGTTACGAATGGATGTCCATTAATGTTTCTACAGAGCTGACTGTGTTTTGCTTTGTTAATTTTAAATCTGTTATTTATGGTATTATGACATTCTAACAATAGAACTGTATTGTACTGTAATACAATCCATTTGACGAATGACTGAAAATGTTTTGTTAAGGTTTCATAGCTCTTAGCATATGCAAAAATAAATCCCTTGTTTCCGCCTGAATGTCATCTGTCGCCTGCCCCTTTGTGATTTTATTAAACAAGTAATTTTCGAAATTAATGGAGCGTGCAGGCGGCGAAATGTAACCTAAATGCCACCTCAAATTTATGAATGGGAAAAACTATTTCAATTTTATAAAATACTCCTGTACTTGTAGTTTATGGATCTGCCTTGGTTGTTTACCCGAGGCATCCATATTTTCGCAAAAATTCAAATTGTATAATTTTTGTTTCATTATCAATCATGTTACAACAAAACTCATGCCGTTCTTCATCTATAGCACATTATTATTGCTACAGAAATTTTAAAGATACTTCCGAATTTTCTTTATTTTTTTTTTTAAGTAAATTAGTATAACTTGCCCACGTCACAACAAAATTTAAAAAAATAAAATATACTAATAACATTGAAAGAAACACTAATCAAGGCATCTAAAAATGTACAAGATGTTCCATTAAAAACTAAATTTTATTTTGCCCCCAAAACAAAACTTTGAATAGAAGACAATAATTTTAAGCTATGATGCTCAAAATGTTGTATAACTTATTTTTTGAAACACTTTGTTTTAGTTTTTTTTCCGATAACACTGTATTATGCTATTTTCCAATGTTGTAAAAATATTTTTATTACTTTTCGAGCGTAATCTAAGAAAGTATTGTAATATGCTCCATCCGGCGACGACTACTTTCATGTTTTCTCAACGTTTCATGACCTCTTCTTTATTAGATAGGTAATCTCCGAAACTACTGGACCGATTGTTGACAAATTTTATATGTATTTTAGGAATATCGCATAGGTTGTAAAAGCTAACCAAAATGTATTTAATCATTCACAAACACAATTTGCGTAATAAAGGTATAAAGGTCAGTAATCTAAATTTTATAAAAGAACATATAGTTTTGTACTCGTGCTTTATGAATCTACCGTGTTTTTATCACAGTTACTTTATAGAAATTTATTTGTGGAATATTTTTCATGTGTTTCATCTGCTCGACATCTCGTTTATCGATCGAGTGGGTTAGGTGATAGATTCTCGGAAGTATTGTAATCAAGTCCATGGGGTAACTGGCACCTTTCACGTTTTCTCGACGTTTCATGACCTCTAAAGTATAAAAAAATTGCTCTCCCGTTTCCTTTTCTCTGTCTGTTTGTTGTCATTTGTGTCAATTTTTACCAGACAGATAATCTCCGAAACTGCTAGAGGCTAAAGTAAAGGTACATTCTAACATAATTTGTTTGTAATATTGACAGTAACAGTACTACATATATTCCTAAATTTTCTGTAAAATTGGGTAAGCCATTTTTTATTTAATTGCCTCATTCATGAATTTTTTTAATTATTCTGTGTGAGCAAAAATCTAAATAAGGTGTCATTCATGGCCATACATATCGAAATATCAAAGGAAACAGTGAAATGCGGCTCCTCATTCGAGGACTCAATTTTGCATTGATACAAACGCATTATTCCAAGAAACCATTAACTCAGAACAGGAACCGGAGACGGCCGAAGGTCATAATTTACGATTGTTTCTGCTTGTACGATAATTTGCTTAAATTTTTGAATGCAAAATAATATTTCTTAGCATTTTATAATTAAGGAGAAAATGAGATTTCCTTAATAAAAAAAAAAAATCGATAGTAAGAGTCACAGACGTACAGAATTGTCTCCTTACTTCTATGGAGACCTAATTAATTTGCCGCTTATATTAGTAGAAAGGATGATCATCCAATTTGGATTTTTTGGGAAAATTTGGATATCTAGGGGAAAAACTCAACGCCAATTCGTACAGAAATATAGTATTGTATAACATTTAAATAATTTTAACATAGAATCTTTTCAGATGATGTCATCAAATTCTTAATTAGGGTGATTGACCAAATTTTCGTTGTGTTTTATCATCTAGTTGATATTTCTCATATACATACAAAAATTGACAACAATCAGTTCAGCAGTTTCGGAAATTATGGGTCTAATAAAAATCTACACAGACGACAGATAGACGGCAATGGGAGACCACTTTTTTCGTATTCTAGGGGTCGTGAAACGTCCAAAAAACGTGAAAATAGGCAGTCGTCTGATGGATCCTATTTCAATATTTCCTCTGCTTACGCTCGGGAACTAAAAAGTCAGGGATTTTAAATACCGGCAGTTTTATTCTTTGCTAATCTTAAGCATCTCAAGGCGAAAATAAATGAGGTATTTGAAAATTAAAACTTATAAGTTACAATAAAAGTCTAAGATTATTTAGACAGAATTTCCCTCTAGTGTGAAGTACAGTCCAACCCATTTTTGTGCGATTTTACCTATCTCCCGGAAGTTCGTTCTAAACAAAAAAAATTATAAAATATTAGCTAGTATACTCTTTTTCACATACCATGGGTGACATTTGGTTCTTTTCATTACACGTATAGTGTACAGTAGAACCTCGATAATCCTAATTAATTGGGAAAAAGGTGTGTTCAGATTAACGATTTGTTCGGATCAGCGATTTTCCCAAAAATCTGAAAATGAATTGAATGACAACTTCATACACAACTGAAAACAAACTTCAAGAAATAAACCTAGATTTTATTAAACAAAATTAAGGAATTCTTAAGCAACAGTGGATAATAGATACATTCTAAAAAAATATTACTCTGTGACCATAAACACTCTTTTTGGAATCAACACCCCGGGATCTATACCCTGAATTTTTTCAGAATTTTTAGATGAATTTTTCAAAAATGAAATTTCCCATTATATATTCGTATTACCCCCATTATGCAAATTTCGACCCATTCTCGACGATTTTCGAAATTTAACTAAATATATTTTCTTGTAGATTTTGGGCCCCAGAAATCACTTCTGGCTTCATTTCTTCGATAAATTAAACCATTTTTCCAGAAGCGTCCAGTTAAAATATTGCAATTTTTAAAAATTTCTAAAAACTCGAATTTCACAGAGAATTTTCCGAAAATATTGCTCCGTTGCCATAAACATGATATATTTTTGGAATCAGTACGTCTGGATATATATCCCTGAATTTTTTCAGAATTTTTAGGAAACTTTTGCAAAAATGAAATTTCTCATGCAAATTTTGGCCCTTTTTCGACGATTTTCGAAATTTAACCAAATACTTTCTCTTGTAGATTTCGGGGCTCATTTCTTCGATAACTTCATCCTTGTTTCCAGAATTAGTTAATTAATTCAGTGCACTAAAATATCGCAATTTTTAAAAACTTCAAAATATTCCATACAACATATGCAGAAAAATCATGCGTCATTTTTGGAAGTAGATGCATGTTTTCAAGTTCAGTTCGAATTGCAGAGTTTTTGTTCGGATTAAAGAGGCATCGACTTCAAATAGCCTCTGTTCGGATTACTGGATGCTCAGATAATCGTGAGTTCGGATTATAGAGGTTGTACTGTATTTACAAAATGAAATCCGATTTCAAAATTTTGAAATTGGTCAAAATAAAGTACCTCGGTCATGTGTCAGGAGAGGGCAATTGCATCCATTGCCCCCCCCCCCCCCCTGGATCCGCGCCTGTATCTAATCAAGATCATCACGAAAATTGTGATGTTGAACAGTAATTTTTAATTTTTAAAGCAATTTTAACATCTGACAGAACTTGTATAACTGAGGAAAACCTAGAAAAAGTAGTAATTGTTATTAGGAATTCCCCACGTGGAAAACGTGGCCATGACTGCAATAGTGCTGGTAATCGGACGACAATGAACATCAATCTTTTACAATTTGTACAATCTTTAGAGTAAAAACTCAAAGCGGTTTCATTAACCACAAGTACAACAGCATGTTATTTTATAAAATTTAAATGGTGTTTACTGAAAAAAAATGGGAGGAGATTATCAAATTGTTGGTGGGGACTATTAACCAAATTTTGGTAATTTCGGAGATATGTATCTAATAAAAATCGACACAGGCAGACAGACAGACAAACGGGAGACCTACTTTTTCGTACTCTAGAGGCCATGGAACGTTAAGAAAACATGAAAGTATTCATTTGCCCAATGGACTCTATTACAATACTTCCTTAGCTTACACTCGTAACGTAAAACTAAATTTTGTTGGTTAATAGTAGGCATATAACTGGAATGGCATTTTTAGCGCGATTCGTATTTCTCGTTGTTTACAAAATAATCATAGCGGAAATAAAAAATTCATTATTCATTCGTTGCTAATGCAATGCACAAGTTAAAAAAAATGAAGCCAAAAATGAATTATAGAGAAAACCGGAAATTATCCATTATTTTATTATTTTACTGCTAATATGTTACTCCACATTTATTTACATTTTACACGTTAAAGATTTTCAGAACATGTTTTCCACGTTCACTAATCATTAACTAATTATAAATTTCAATTTCTGATTTATAAAACAAGTGAGTTTTTCTGTAATGTACACAAATTAAACGTTATGAAGGTATCTACACTCGGAGTCAAATCTTTGGGACAACTACAGTCAAATCCACAATCACATCGTTCCTAATTACCGATATCCGATATCTTTGTCATTTTGACAGTAAATTTCGCAAAGATCTGCCACCGATTGTAATTTTACGCCACTCGATAAAAAGATAATGAAAAGTATACCTTACAGCCCTCGCACGACGTCACTCCATAATGGTAGCCGGAAGCTTTGTCACCGCATACTTTGCAAGGAACGAACGATTTGGTTGTCGATGAACTGTTTGAATCTGCCGCCACATAATGTTGTTCTGTAACAATAAAGAATAATGTTATGTAACATAAAATAAAATAACTTTGCAAAAATCTGTCGTCGCAGTTTTCAATAACCCGTTACACACGTTCGCAATCGCTATGCGTACATACATCAAAGTAACCGTAATTCAAAACGTAGCTTAGAATTACAACTAGAGAACACAAAAAGCTACATCATAAATAACACAATTCCATTGCTGTTATGAGGAACGTCGAAGATTCCTGAAATAGATACCAGGAAAACCAGTATAAATAAAATATAATATCGCTTGTTGTTAAAATACCGATCTTTTTGTGTTTTATGGTGTCTGTGGCACTTCAGCACTTGTTATATGGGAAATAAATTTAATTATGTACCTGACCTTCGGCCACGCTTACACAGTGAACAATTTAAATATTATTGCACGATTTTCTTTCATTCTTGGCTGAGGAATAAGTATTTTCCGTGCAACAACCAACCGAAGCTATAAATAAATTTAAGTAATTAATTAAAGACAAATTCAGCATCTAGTTGTGCTGATCTAAATAGAATGAAATATAGATCTTTTTTGACGGGGAAACTGAAACTGCATGTCGGTACCGTGCGCAGTAGTTGAGCTTTTTGATTATTTTTAATAGCTAACATATTCAATGATCATAAATCATGTTGTAACACGATGTAATGGGACATAAACATCACAATAAACACGTCGGTCGTCAATATTTACATTCAAACAGGCGTGCCACCCTGAAAACATAAAATCGATTAGTTCCAGTGGAACAGAATTATTGATTTGTTGCACACGGATTTGTCCTTTTCTTATATTTATGGGTTTTTTTATACAGTGGGAGAGCTGGCGGATAAAATTCAAAACATGCAGACATTTAATTTATTGTCATCGCTGAGAATTTCTGAAAGGAACATGTAACCTTTAACATTAGCTTTCGGCATTGATTTTATTTGATATTTTAATTTTGTTCCGTAGTAATCTGATAAACGAAGACACGCGTGAAGAATTTTTATTACCTTTTGTGGTTTGGATCGGATTTTTTATGCATCTTTCACGAAGTTCGTTGGCTTTGAAGTTAAACTTTGAAGAATTTTTAAATATTCATCGTTGTTTGAACTTGCTCGTATTACATTGGGTAACACTTAAAAGGAAGTATTATATTTCGTTAATAACATATCAGTTACAGATTTAGTAAGCTCTACAATAATTGTTTCATTTTATATTGTTGTCACACTTAAGGTTAACTAAAAATGGAAATGTACAATATAATAATGGTTTGATACCTTTTATTCACCGACATAAATTTGTTAGACATAAAAATAGATACATAATTTTTCATTTATGAAATTACTGACCAATAAATCAAAACGAGATGAAAGGTTATTATTGGCAACAAATTTGCGAAGACAACAAATTTTTGGTACGCTGATCAACTTCGTGTCAACAAATTTTGCTTGAAATTTGTAGAACTACCATCACACTTGACTTTTAGTTCTCAGAATTGACATATTTAACAGTGACATTGAACTATAATTAAAATTTGTGATTGATTATTATTTTAAAATTTGATATAGTGCCAAGCGTAAGAAAAATTTCTCACAATTGATAAATTCTATTGACAACTCAAACAATATTTGTAAATCACGTTGTAGTTTTTTAGCTATTTCAATTGTATATTTTGAATGATGTGAATATTTAATAACGTTAACGTTCAAGGTTGTACATATACTTATGCAAATTATCATTCTAATTGTCCTACGTCTTCTCATCTGAATACTCTTCGTTATTTAATTAGGGTAGTAGTGCAACGTACTCGTTTCACCCACAAATTTTAAAGTGATCACAGCCTCTGAAGAACGATTTCATCTCCTATTTGTCACCAGAGGTCGCCCCAACCTGTCAATTGTCATATACGCTCGTGCGCTTATCCAGCACACGTCACAAAAATTCATATATCGTGCATTTTTCACAGATTCCAAGGCTTGTGAAATATATGGACTTGAGCCACAGAAAGTGTAAGTGAAAAGCAGATTCCGTTGTTTTTTTTTCTTGTAAATTTCATACCCGAGTTTTCCATTAATACATCGTCTCATCAGAATACTCCATTTCTGTCGCCCTAATAATGATAATAAAAATAATAATGATAAGCCCCCTTCCAATATTGTTACAGATTTACTTTAAACTTAATAACAATTGACCAACTGGGGCGACATGGTGACAAATAGGAGATGAGATCGTTGTTCAGATTCAGAGGATCACTTTAAAACGTGTGTGGAATTATATTGCACTACTACCTAATTAAATCAAGAAGAGTGTTCGGATGAGAAGACTATCACAATGAAGGTCGAACGTCATGAAATCGTTTGACCCTTCTAATAATAACCATTTTGCTTCTGTTGCATATGTTGTAATAGAATTTTTTATTTATGTACTGATTGGTTATTTTCATGTTTTCTCGACGCTTAATAATCCCTAGCGTCGCCTGTTTGTGTCGATTTTTATTAGAATCTCGGAAACTTTGTCGTTAAATTTTACGTGCATGTTACGAATATGGTCTAGATTGTACATTGTGATGACGTCCCTTCAAAGTGATTCACATATTATTGCACTTGTGATTTATGAATCTGCCTTGATTTTTATCTGAATTATTTTATAAAAGTTTGTGTGCAATATTTGGCCTACGGGAATAACGAGCTACTAGTGGGTTTTTTTTCTGATACATTGAATTTATTTGAATGCTTCCAGTGACTTTAGGTGCCAGGGAAGTCCTGTCTAAACAACTTTAGACACATTTTTTGTCTTCTGTCTTTGACAAATACTAACGAAAAAATATTAATTTATCTGTAAGATTGAACAAATCTCACTGTTGTTCAAGAAAGTCTAGTCTAGACTGAACTTTGCACGAAATTTTATAATGGCATTCCAGATATTTTTAAATAACTTTAAAATACATGTAATCATTTTTAAAAGATTACAAATAGTGAGACTTTTAGTTTTTAAAACAATTTGTTATTATTAACAGCATTCGCATTAGGGAATGTTCTATTTTCTGATTTTCAATAAACCTTTTAAAATTGCTTCGAAAATCATATGTAACCATGGTAACATCAACGTGCCCTTTGTAGAATGTTAATAATGTCATGTGTCAAACCTATAAATCGTTACAAATAAGATAACAGGAAAGCGTGACAAGAGACTTTAAAGGAAATTTAATTAGAAGCTTGAATATATATTAAATAAAATCTTCGATATGCCGAAATAACCTCATTATGATGCTAGAATTTTAACTTGAGAACGGAAGCTAGGAAGTTTTTCTCGACGTTTTAGTGTTCCTAAAATAAAAATAAAAAAAATAGGTCCCTCATACGTTTGATTAATGTGGTGAAGCTATCCATATCAGAGTGATTACTGTGAAATTTGATATTTTTTTAAATATCGTATAGAGTGTAAAAAATTAACCAAAATTTGTTTAATGGCCCTCACGAAAAATCTGACGAAATCATTTTAAATAATCCGTTCACGTAATTTTAGCTCTATGCATCTAGATTTTTAAAATAAAATTCAAAATTTTATGTTCACAATGTTATCGTGAACATGTTAAATTTTTAGTCAGAAATTTACCATTTTGAAAAACTTGATGACGCTATCTCATAATTTTGATAAATAATTATATTTATTTGTTACTGTTGCTTAATTTTACAGTACAATTATTTTTATTTATTTCTTGCTTCAAAAAAGCTTACGTCATTGTTGAAAGTTAAAAAAGTAGATGTTAAAAATAAATTCGTCCGAAACTCTTAAAATAACGATAGTACTACAATATACACGTTAAAATTGATAAGTATCCTTTACAAGTTGTTAAATAAATCTATATAAAAAAATATCATCCAATTTTCACTGGTTGTGCCTCCGAGGCGAGGGAAGTTCTACCGAATACCTCTAAAAGAATTTTTAGTTCCCGATTGTAAGAAGTATTGTATAGACTACGAAAAAATAGAAAAATTTTATATATATTTCTCCACCAAAAAAGTGACTTTACATAATAAATGTTACTTAAATTTTCTAAAATTACATACTCCTATACTTTTGGTTTATGAAGTCGTCTTAATTTTTTAGTGTAGATATCCTAATTAAAAAAAAATCAAATTACAATTTAACTTTGAAACTGAAAAACCGAATGTTTTGAAATTTTGTAAACGTTAATTGTCATCTTCCTCCAAAAAATTGATGACGTCATCTCAAAATTTTGCCTGCTGAAAATTCTTTTAATACCACACCTTTATTAGATATGTGTATAATTAATTTCACATACTAGATACAAGATTGAAACATTTTAATTTCTAGGGAAACGAATTTCATGCGTTTGGTATTCAGAGGCAGAGTATAATAAGACAGCAACTTTAAGTTAAGTTATTATTATATCACAATAAATGTTCAACTGTGCATCAGCGGCTGTGATATTTATTTGCAATCGTGTTGAGCGAATCTTTAATCCACTTATGTACAAAAGAGAGAAAGATAGAGAGAGCAACAAAAAAGCATATATGTACCTACTTGAAAACTGATAAGTGTTGTATTCTTAAAAAGATATATAATGAGGAAAACAATCACAATATCTATTGTTATTGCTAAAGTTACTTGGAGACTTTTCAATAAAAATGTATTTATATTTAATGAAGAGAAATATATTAGCTTTATGTAAAATATGCACTAATCATGTTAGGAACCTTCAGGAAAACTACATGAATTACATTTGATATAATCGACAAAATAAATGACGATATACTGTGTGTTTATTATTTTTTTATGATAACTTATATAAGTTAAAAAATATATAGAAAACACCCATCACAGTGTAAGAAAAAAAGAATGGCTCTTGAAGAGTCGAACACGTGTTCGGTTCGTCTTATACTGCTTAAAATTTTATTATATAATTTAATATAATATAATACACCTAAAATTTGACGCCAATCAGTTCGGTAGTTTCGGTGATTAAATGTCTAATA